CAAAGTTTCAAATAAAAACGACACACACACATCTTCTACATAGAAGCAAATGATCGTGGTTGCAAAATCCGGTCATGCTGAGTTTCTGAATTGTTGATTATTACTCAGTAGTGATTATAATAATGTATACAAAATAAATTCGTTAAATTGTTATGAAATACAAATAAAAGTCAACTTAGTTTCATCGTAAGCAAATGATTCCGGTCTCATATAAACGTTTGATGCTGTAGGATATCCGCCATGTTCTCTTAGGTCAAATAGGTCAAATTGCTAATTAACCAATCAAAAAGCTGGATGATGCCAACGTGTTCAAATTACCATAGCTTATTTAAATATATTAATGTTATTGAATGCAATGCGGAAGAGATTGATGTTGTAGTACGATCTTTTGACTTGGATTTTGATGCGAAAACGGCATGATTTTTTTTTAAATCAAAAATTAGTTGTTTTAAAATAAAATGGGCATTTGAAGAATAAATTAACATTGTTTACAGTGATAACAGCTCATTGTCGAAACGAAGCTTACCCATTCACGCGAGTCACGATAAAAATCATACTCTTGAATAGACGCCAATGACTACGGTAAAACTTACTCTATTTTGGCCGGCAGGAATGATTGAAATGTCCGAAAAATGACGCCAAAATACACCTTAAAAGTCCCATTTTATTTTCTTAAATCCCATTTTATTTTTTAATCTAAGGGCGAATTTACGGCAGAATCTGGTTCCTCAAATAGGGGACACATGAGCTTTGATTCTAACCGGATACATTGCACTGGGTCGGGAAGACAGTTTGCTAAACTTACATGTATCTTTTGTCCAATGGGTACCTGTACTTCGAACATTCGCAAGTTTTCCTATGTAGTGTGAGACAGCTTTGTCTTTTGACCTATTAGTTTTATGCTGACCTCTTTTCCGCGTCTTGATGTTTTGTTTTCCTTGTCATAATACTCACTGATTGATGACTTTGTTTTGATTTTGAGTTGTTTAGCCTACAACTCGGCCACGACCTTTGCTTTTACCGTGAAACATGGGGAAGTTTACGTCAATTGGCGGACATTGCATTTTTTAAAAACTAACGAAGCACACTGTCTATCATCCCCATTTTTTTCATTTGCTGATTTATATTCAGAAAAATTGCACCTTAATTTCGACTCTAAAAACACGTCACATTTCCAACACAAAAGTACTTAAAACCGGTCGAAATTTTGGAGTTTTTTCGGTAAGTGAATGCGCTGCTAATAAATAAAGTGTGATAGTTTGAGTTGGTATCAAACTTGTATTTATTAACCCTGCTCTGGTATCATCAATGATACTGAAAACTATCAAGGAGATGAGACTTGTGTAGTAAGCTAATTACCAAATATATTGTATTTGCTAAAGTTATTGTGCATGTGCTTTATTAGTCCCCGTTCGGACGAAGTTCGAAAACGAGGACTTCTAATTCGGTCTCCGTCCGTGCGTCCATCCGGAGTCGTATCTCAGAATCCCTTGGTCCGATTCCATTCATTCCTTGCATGTGCCTAGTACTTTATGTGGGACATGTGCACATGCAGTGGTTTAACGATTCGATTCGAAATGGCCGACTGGCAGCCATCTTGTTTTTTGAAAATGTTGTATTTTGGACATGCTTTGTCAGTTTTCATTCAAACTTGGTACATAGATTATATACGTTAGGATACATGTCCATGACGATTTATTTCACAATTAGATCAAAGATGGCCGACTGGCAGCCATCTTGTTTTTTGAAAATGTCATATTTTGGACATGCTTTGTCAGTTTTCATTCAAATTTAGTACATAGATCATACATGTTAGGATACATGTCCCCGACCGTCCGTGAGTTCCTGAGTCTGTCCATCCGTGTGTCTGTCCATCCGTGTGTCTGTCCATCCGTGTGTCCGTTCATTCGTGCGTCAGTCTGTCCATGCGTCAGTCTGTCCAGAGTCATATTTCAGAATCCTGTGGACCGATTCCATTCATTCCTTGCATGTGCCTAGTACCTTATGTGGGACATATGCACATGCAGTGGTTTAGCGATTCGATTAAAAATGACCGACTGGCAGCCATCTTGTTTTTTGAAAATGTTGTATTTTGGACATGCTTTGTCAGTTGTCATTCAAACTTGGTACATAGATTATACATGTTAGGATACATGTCCATGACGATTTATTTCGCAATTGGATCAAAGATGGTCGACTGGCAGGCATCTTGTTTTTTTATATGTGGTATCTTGAATGTGCTCTGTCAGTTTTCATTCAAATTTGGCACATACATGTACTTTATACATGTTAGAATGCATGTCCATGACAATTTGTTTCAAAATCTGGTCACAGATGGCAGATTGACAGCCATCTGACTTTTTGGCCTTACTACTATATTTCCACAATTTATGTACCATTTTCATTCGTATTTGGCACATACATCATACATATCAGTGTGTTTCATAATCAGATCAAAGATGGCCGAATAACAGCTGTTTTTATTTTTGGCCATATTACTACTACACGGAACACGCGTTTTGATGTAAATAAACAATCTGTTGTATAAGCCACTTGGAACTCAAGTTTCAAGGACACGCTGGGGGCAACTCCTCCGCTTTAATATGACGAGCACGAAGGGAACTTTCAAAATTTTAACGGGGACTGTGTCATTTTCAATGACTTATGTTAATGATCCTGTATTCAATAAAGTTTATGTGCACTTTTTCAACATTTCTTGATCTCACTTTTGCAGCTCAGAGACGATTGGCATGTTTGAGTGAAATTCAACGTTTGAAGCATCATTCAGCGGCTCAGAGTGAAAATTCAAGGGCTGCCAAGACATGTAAAGGATCTCTCACTATCAACGATATTAGATTACCACTTAAAACTGAATATATATTTACTATGGGATCCAAACAAGGTGAGATTTTTGGGTAATTCTAAGGTGTATTACTGTACAGAATGAATTCAGGAATTTTCTCAAATGCACTGTGATGATGAGCTACCGTAAAATCTGTATTAGAAGCCACATCTCTAATAGAAGCCGCACCCATTCTTTTTGAACAATTGAGACCCCAAAATTCACCATTTGAATTATGTGTAGATGCTCTTATAGAAGCTGCATCCCCTCTATTGCATTGTACCATTTTAATAGAAGCTGCGGCTTTTAATTCAGATTTTACAGTACTGATGAAGTCTTACCTGTTATTTTTTGTATTTCAGATCGTCAGATTCATCATTTCTTTGTGTTAGTTCGTAACGGAAGTCATGTTTTAGCATCTCATTTACTGTCTACACATGATGGTTTATCTGGAGATTGCTTACCATTCACTAATATGATGACAATGTAAGTTGATTTATTGCTGCTGGTGCATGCCTCTCTACAATGTAGGTGTAGTCATCAACCACATTCATTTCACCATGCTGTATTTCCATATTGCAAAATGCGTTTACAAATAGTTTAATCGCTGCAACACTTGTATTCCTTCCTTGTACACAAATCTTTTTAATTGTCCATGGTTTGATACATAACCATGTTTTTATCTCAAGTTAATTCTCTATGAAGTGGGTTTACTTCATTTTAGCAAGGTCTCTTATACCACATATTCATTTGCTGCAGTTTTATTTTTGGTCTAGCTTAGCACGTCACCTGGTGATATTTCAAGAATGACTTGTTTTTTTGAAAGAGTCTTTCATTGAATTGTAGACAAATTTAGACTAAGTACAGCACTTCTAGAACCATCATACTTAGTACAATCAAAGTAATTTTGGCACTTTGTACACTGCAATAATCAGCATACCTTTTAAACAGGTTATAAATACCTAAAAATCGTATGAACAAGATTAATACTGTTTTGTAATTTCACTAGGAATGACATTGGAAGCGATTTCTTACTCGATATTGAAGTGTATAGTATGCAAACTAAAAAACCAGATGTCAAAGAAAAGAAAGGAAACCTATTGAAAACTATTACTCCAAGAAGAGGTTCCAAGGTATCACAGTCAATTACTATTTCTAAACTCTTTCATTGTTTGATACTTACCTGCCAAAAATGATGCATTTCCAAGGTGTCTTTGTTTGGGTTCAGTGATGTATCTGCTTTATTTCGTTGAACATACTGAATGGATATTCAAACTTTTGATACATTATAAGTGCCAACATTTGTCACATTTTATTTATGTGTTGATAATTTCGTTGAAGTCGCTTATAGTACTGTAAAATACTTATTTTAGCTGGAATTAATTTTCGCTGAAAAGACTTTTTGAATGATATTCATGGATTTTTATTTTCACTGATTTTTGATGAGTTGAATGTAAAATATAGGAAAAAAGAGTATATTCGCTGGATTTAACTTTCACTGAATCATTCCTTCAGCGAAAATTGAATCCAAGCAAAAATAAAGTATATTACAGTATGCTTCTTTAAAGAAAGCTATTGAGTGTATTATTAATAATCTTTACATAAAAATGTCAGGAAGCATTCTTTCTACATTCCTTTCATGCATACCGAAAATAATGTGAAAGGTCAAACTTTGTGGAAGGTTGATTTTTGTATGAATTACTATTATTATTGTAAAATAATGAATTGATATTTCATTCTTTTTCAGAAAGGTAACATGATGTCTCCAGGTGTCAGCAGTCCAGGTGGACCAGGTGCTGTAAGAACGAGCAGCTTTATATTGGTTGGTGGCACTAGAGTAGCTTTGAGCAACGTCAAGAACACAAAGTTTAATCTTTCCAAAGTAAGACATTCGCATATAAACTTTGACTACCTGTGCTGAAAATGTATTAACATGCAACACTGCAGTCATATTGTCAAAGCATGTCACATGGTACCCATATCGGAACAAAGTGCTGTGCAGTTTAATGGTTTTACATTCTTACATCATTGTATCTTGTCTTAATGGCATTATTAACTTTTTGGCTAAATGTTTTTGAGGTAGCTCCAAAATCTGTAATAAAAGAAATCTATAAACCACCTATCCATAACCTGTCACTAGAGGGCTTAACTCATTTCATATTTTCCCCATGTCTGAAATGACGGTTTATGATTGAGATGAGTTGTATCTTTTATTGGTTGTATATCTGATTAATTTTGATTCCATTTGAGGTCTACTTCATTTGCTCTCGTATTCAGCCTCATAATGGCATTTCTGTGTTGTATTTTAAGCTATGAAATTTTTTAAAATTGTGATTTACAGTAACTACTTATCTCGATTATGTATTTTGTTTTCCAATATGGCGTTGTGCGATCATACTGAGCATGCGATTTGCAAAGAATTGTGGGAAACTTTTGCCACCTATTATGCGAGCCTATGTGTTTAAACAAACACTCACCAGAGTTATTTTCAAACAGTTTGTTTGGTTACCAAGGGAATGTCTGTCTCTTCAAAATTTTAATCGCATCGATGACCATTATGTCAACGACTGATGTATAGTTTAATGATGAAAGGCTACCTTTACTTGTGTCAACAATGTTTTAGGGTTACCTTGATCACCAATATAAACTCAGACGTCCATGTATTTTGTATCTAGGTGCCGTTCTTGTGTCCATTAGAGGGTTCCATTCACATGAAAGTGAAGTGTTATATTGAGACCAAAGTTGAAGAGAGGGGATTTCTAACTATGTTTGATGACGTCAATGGTTTTGGTGCATGGCATCGTAGATGGTGTGTACTGTCTAACGGTTACGTGTCATACTGGAAATATCCTGATGATGAAAGAAGAAAGGTAACATTCAGTTTATATTCTAACACTATTATAATTATTATAACTGCCTTGTTCTGGGTGTTCCTCCTCAACTTGTATGTGAAAATTTTTGTATTACAATGAAACCTGTGTGAACTGAACTCGTTTTCCCCAGCCACTTTCTCCATAGACTTTATTAAGAAATGTAAACAGTTTAATGTTCACTGCGGGAAATATTTGCTGTCAGGTTTTGATGGTATTTATAATGAAAAACTTTTGCACATTTTAATGTATTTTGTGTAATAAAAATTGACTGGGATCCAAAAGACATCGACTTGTCTTCGCTTTCGCTCACTCCATCAAATCATAAAAATTCCTAGCGGTGAAAATTTAGTTTCAATGTACCATCTATTAAAACTATATATTGTATTTGTCTATTAGTATCAGATGTACTTATGTAAATAACAAGTATATCTATGGTTGAAATATTTTAACATTTTGTAATCCAGTATATTGTATATATATTTGTGATATGCTTCTAATAGAGAAAATATGATACTCCATTTTGTTGGTTTTCTTTACTACAATATGACATTTACGTTTATTATGTGCTTCTAATAGAGAAAATACGATACTCCTTTTCTTAGTTTTCTTGCTGCAAAATGACATGTACGTTTATTATAGGCTCCTATTGGTAGTATCTCTCTCAAAGAATGCTCAACACAGAATGTGACAACGGTGGCCAGGGAATATTGTGCTAGACCAAATACTGTTGAACTTGTTACAAGGAGACAGTCCAGAGATTCAGACGAAAATAATTTGATTGTCACTTGTTTTGGTGACTACACAGAGATTAAGTAAGTCTTTTTCATCTTAAAAACTTCTATACTTTCATTGGATTTTCAACTGAAATCGATCTAAATCCATAGCAATGTTTAAATGTAGCATGAATTATTGTGTATTGCATAACTACTGCACCTTACTTTCTCACACTCTTTTACACTACACTTGGTCTACTTCAATTTCTCACAATTAAATGATAGATACCAAAACTAACATTTGTACCTTATTTATGGTTTATGACAGAGAGCAGTCTATTGCAATAAACTTGACTCAAACCCAAGATTTAAGTTGTCCCCAAAAAAGTATGAGCACGAAAAATCACAATGTCCCTGTTGATTTATTTTTACAAGGAAAAACTCGCGTTTAGAAAAATATGTGAACAAAAGCAAATGTCTCTTTGCTATAAAATCATTGTACAAAATTTGTGATTATGGAAAATAAGAACACTCGTATACATATATGAATTCGATGAGGGTGCTCAAATTTGAAATAGAATTGTATGTTTTTGATTAAATAAGTCATCGTTAAAATGTAAAACACTTTCGTACTTCATAAAACGTTTTCAGAATTATAGGTTATGACTTATATAGGTCATTGCACTATGACATAATTTGTTTATATTTTTGCTAACCAGTAGTACTGTAAAATGACTAATTTTCACTGGGTTTAAATTTCACTGATTTACCATTTCAGGCATATTCAGTGGGTTTTAAATTCACGGTTTCGTCATTTAGATAATGTGTTCTATGCTCAATTTTACATATTTGCTGGGTTTTAATTTAGCGCATTTTCCAGTCAGCGATATAAGCAAAATTAAAACACAGTGAATAATTAACCCCTTTACAGTATTTGTAAATATCTGATAACAAAGGGAATCACTGATCAGTACTAGCTTATCTGCTATCATGTATGTGGTTTTATTTAACAAGAATACATAACAGTAGTAAACAATGTCACTGGTTTTTCTATGGGTACAAATGTCTGGTTCTTTCCAACTAGTCATTGCACTCGCATATTACCTACATTGTACCTATACCTCCATTCAATAATAAAAAAAAAAAATAGCTTTTTCGATTAACCTATTTATTATTCTTAGATGGTGGATGTCTGCTGATACGAAAGAGGAGAGACAACAATGGGTTAACAAATTAAACAAAGCCTTGGTTAATATGAGGCAGTGGAGTAGAGACAGCACTAGATCTCAACGAAAATAACTCTCATCTTATGCCATGCAATCATGAAAGTTGACAAGACAATGTGGTCATTGCTGCGGGATGAGTTTTAAATATTCCAAAAAATAATAGACAGAGACAAATCAAAATTAACAATTATGTACAGTTAACTTTTTAATTGAAATTCTCCTTGTATTAATTATCTTGTAGTTTTATTTATCATTAATATTAAATACAGCATCATTTATGCAATTCTCTAATAATATTGCACATTATATATTTTGATCTTATTATTATTCATTACTTGTGTATTTATCAGAATTTTCATTTACAATTGTAAAGCATGATATTAATTTTTTAATACTTCATATATATTCAATACTACTAAAAATCACAATTACTATTAATCACAATATTTCAGGTTGTTTTGCTTAAGATTGAAACGTTTTCTATAAAATAGGTCATCCTATCAAAGAATAATCTGGGTATATCATTACCAACAACGAACAAGTTATGACTTTGTTTCTAACCTATCCTCTTTCATTTTTCTTGTATAATCCTACAGTATTGTCTGATAGTTAAGAGTGATTACCGCCAGAGTTCTGATTGTAACATTTTCCCTGAGTTTTCTAGAAAATAGGTCAGGGTATATCAATACCATGACAACAAATGAGTTATGAATTTGTTTCTAACCTATCTATCCTCTTTCATTTTTTTTGTATAGTCCCACAATATTGTCTGATAGTTGAGAGTGATTACCACCAGAGTTCTGATACTGCACTGGCGGTAAACATTTGTGCAGTTTATAAGCAAATTTTGTTTGTGTAAATGCGATTATGTGTTGTTTTTTTGTGTGGTCCACTCATTTTTCTTCCACAATTTGCTCATTTTTTCAAGCCATATAACTTCACCAAAATAAATTGTGTACCAGCTTTTATATAAACTGGATTTAGAAGTATAGTTTTTCACTGCAATTTATTCCCGATATATAGAACACGTGTAAACTTTTTAAATGCATTTGCCAGCTTTCTATTCAACAATTGGGGTGTACAAATAGATAACTTTGCTCATAGTGTTTTGATAAAATTCATGAATGGGGTTAGTTGTATCGAGTGCAATAGTTTGGTGAATTTTTTTTTTAGTTTCTCACCTTATTTTTTTATAAATATATTTTCTAATATTATTGCCTACATTTTATTCACATAGCGAAGTTTGTCATATAATATAGTAGTTAAATGTTAGTCTCAAAGTAGAATATCGCTTAATAAAACATAGTTGTGCTACCTTTTGTCTTGTGCCCATTGTTATAAGTAGATGTGTATGCTTAATGATAGCTGAAGAATACAAGGATGCTAATGGTAAAGCGGTCTCCAAATTTGAACCTATATTGGGAATTTTAGACATTTTTCTGTGAATTTGGCGGCGGGTTACCGAAAAATCTGAATTGGAAAGAGCTGTGTGGGGGCATGGTCACTTAATTGAATGACAGGATTAGATGTATCAGACGGAAGTCATTGGTGTAACTAGCCCTGCGTACAGGGACATGTTCGATTGTTATGTGCCCCCCCCCCCCCCCACAGTCCTGCGTACCTTAATCCACAAAGTCCGGGACTTTGAAAAATATAACATATTTAATGAAATGGCATGCTCAGGTACCATGATCGATTAATGCGTACATCTGCGAGTCCAATTGTGGATGAAATCTGCTACTTTTCCCAAAAAACAAACTATTCTCTTGATGGACGATTCCTCAGTACCTATGCGACATCTATCAACCGAACTCGTCCCCGTACACATGCTGAGACAATACAACCCAAACCAGGGTTGCAGCATATCCCTGAAAAGTGCGTTAATGACGAAATTCTTCAATGTATGCTTCTTGCCATTTTATTTTTTTCATGAAAATATTTTTAATTTACCAACTCAAACTACAATTTCAGAAGGGATTCCACATTGCTGCGTCAGTCATATATGCCTTCCAGAGATTTGAAACTAAATACATTCAAAATGCATGATAAAATGGAAAACTACTTGTATAAAGTTGGTTTTATTTCACAATGGAATTAGAGATCTACAGTAAATATATGTAGTGCATTAATCAATATGAAGTTTATATACATTATCCCACTTTGCAAAATTAACCCAACAAAGACCATGACTGATGCTTGGTACCACAGGCAAAGAAGTATTGTAATTTGTTAACTTCAAAATAAACCCTGCAATGCATAAGTAATTGAACACTTGTCAGAGAATAATTCCCCAACTTAATCAATGCAGCCTTGTATACGTCGCTAGTACCAAGCACCATGTTCAAATTTATTAAGTTTCAATTATGGCTTTAATATAAAACTAAATTGTTTAGATTCAAGACTCTCTTCCATACAGTACTGTAAAATCTGTATTAGAAACCATGGCTTCTATTAAAATGTAACAGAGGGGATACGGCTTCTATTAGAGCATCTACATATATAAGAAATGATGAATTTTTGGTTCTCGGTTATTCAAAAAGAATGGGTGCGACTTTTATTGGGGATACAGCTTCGAATACAGATTTTACGGTATATACTACTAGGCCATTCTAAGATAATTAAACTGACAAACACAGGACTTGAGGCTACCCATGAAATGTACACATCAGGTGATCTGACTGGATAGACTTGAAATTGATAACCTGTGCTTATGAAGTACGCATGCAAAACAGACATACAAACCCTAAAAAAAAATAACTAATTTCAAAAACTACAATACAGAAATATAGTTATGGCAGCAATATAATGTATAATAAAGAAACTTGAAAATAAACTTCAAAAAACCTGAAAAATCAGATGATTTTCTCACACTGCGTGAAAGTTAGTTACATATTAAAAACTTCCATATGGCGCACCACATTTGCTCCAATAGAAATGCATGCAACAGTGTCATTGTCTTGTTATGGAACAAGTTTTTATGCAATTTGCATTAAATACTTTAACAGGATTTACTAATATTTTTAATATACACAGCAAAAAGATAAGTTTTACATGGTTGCACTTCTAAAGAAGCCAAAAAAAAAAATCAGTTTTTACATATGCTTCTAATGGAGCAAATACAGTACCTGTGAAAGAGTATATACTGGCATTACTTGCGTGGTATCAGGGTTATAATTATGATTGCAGAATCAACAAGCTTAGGTGTGAATTTTCAATCATCAGTTATCAAATTTCATATCAACACCATAGCCAAAGTGATATTCTGTGGTGGTGGTGGTGGTGGATGTTCTCAGTTTTCATTGGAGTAAAAACATTGGATCATAGATGGCAATACTGTTGCTGGATCAGTTCATTTTATTAGACATTCTACCATTTTGTTTATTCTTTCATCACTGATATATGTAACTGGCACACAGCCGCGACCCACCACCATTATATGAATTGCTGGGAAATCTGGGATGCAGATACGTCATGTACATCCACGTCCGGAGTCCACACATTGGTAACATAATAGCACATGCATGAGAAAATGTTTGCATCTACAGTATTGAACTGAGAATTTGAATCACAATGACCACATTTTCTACCACATGTATTGTAAATTAACTAACAGGTAGACCCTTTCTTTAAATTTAAAAAAAAAATATTTAAAAAAAACTACATACGAGTGAGCTTTTATAAATGAAGTGTTATTAAAGCATGCAGCATTTAAACTTGTACAAAATATAAGACTTCAAAATTATCATTTATTTACAATTCAGATTGCCAGATCTATGATTATTAAAGGGCAAACTACTTTTATGCTGGATAAGGGGGGGGGGGGCTAATGTCAGACGGGAATGATAAAAAAGTGGGGGCGTTAGAATGACAAGTTAAACACACGAAGTTACCCCCTATCTGTATCAAGCACCAATTCACATTTAAGTTTAAAATAAGCAAGCCCTTTCGTAACATTCAAGTTTCAAAAGTTTCAACAGTGCATTTGAAATCACTGTTGGAAATTAGCACCAAAAGATACAGCTGGCGACAAAAAAAGTGCTTGTGAAAAACACACCTCCTCAGTAGTTTCCCCAATTATACATTACAAGCAATCTTTATGACCCTCTGGCATGTGGGTTGTACTATCATTTGAATAACAAAGTGAAATTATGTGTTGGATGTTCCTGTCACAGGTGGGTTATAATAAACTGCGTCAGAGGTACATTACTTGGGGTTTGCAACTACGGTGACATGATACAAAGATCCAGTTACAATCTCACTCTTGCATAAGCATTCCAACTCAGAACAAGCAGCCTGTCGGCTGAGATAGCTCCGCTGTTAGCAATGCACATTTCAATTAAAGAACAGAAGATATCATTAGAAAATGAACAATATGTATAGTATCAAAGCAATGGGACTTGCCGTTTTGAACAAGGATTTAAAAATATCACTTTTCACCAAAATTGACAAAAACAATTATCAAAATTACATAATTGAAGATATCACCACGAAATTAACAAATCTGAAAGAGGTCCACATGTAGTACCTATATATGTAATATAAAAACAATCAGACTTGCGATTTTCAACAAGAAGTCGAAAATATCACTTTTTACCAAAAATGACAAAAATATTCACCAAAATTAGAGAATTAAAGATATCATTACAAAATAAACAAATCTGAGAGAGGTTCACATGTAGTACCTATATATGTAATATCAAAGCAATTGGACTTGCAGTTTTTAACAAGAAGTCGAAAATATCACTTTTTACTAAAAATGACAAAAATATTCACCAAAATTAGAGAATAGAAGATATTACAAAATGAACAAATCTGAGAGAGGACTACCCAAGGTACATATACACCAAGTATCAAAGCATTCAGGCTTATAGTTTTCAAGAAGAAGTCAAAAAAGTAAAACATTGACACAGACGACGGACAATCACTCATATGATAAGCTCCGCTCAACAAAGTCGACAGCGAATGTGAATGCGAATGCCCAAAGTGACTAGGATACTGGGATGTTCAGGTGGATACGACAGATTACGATAACTATATTTTCTGTACATTTTCGATGTATTACATTTTTTCACTACGAGTGTGGTAATACATGTTTTATTACAAACCGCCTATGTCATGTCAGAAGGTCGTAGCCTCAGTCTCGCTATCTACGAGATGAGACTTGAA